AAAAACTCTTTAACCGTGATGTCATCGATTTCACGGTCGTCATTTTCTGTTTTGTTCCAGGTCTACGTATTGAATATTTCTCTTCCTTTTTCACCGATCACAAATAAGAATGTCGCGTATTTTTCTTCTTTAGATTTATTTGTCATTGCTGCTTTTAGATACAACTGCATAGTTTGTTTCCATTTTCTCTATGTTACAGCTATATTGATTTCATTGAAGTCCATTTCGTTTAGCTTTGGCAAAAGTGTTCCATATTCTTTTTCTTTTTAAAATAAGTACTTTTCCAAAATCTCTTCTTAAAATGTCTTCAGTTCAATTCTGGTACCATGTTATGTTTGTCTTTATATTTATTATGAAGAGAGTTTGACAATGGTTTTTATTTGATATTTATTTCATTATTTTTATATTAAATTATCACAACTAGTTTAAATATAAAACTCTGGATAGTTTCGCGTCGAAACTTCAACTGTAATTAAATTCAGCACACTGGCTTTTAAGCAAGAATTCCTCGTGCGGAATACTCTCAAGGGAATACTTTCGTTATAAGTTTTTGTGCAGTTCGCCAAAGGAAATTGCTTGTTTTGCAATCGCTAATTGCTATTCTCAATTGTTTTGCGTAACAATCATTACAGTTACTGTTAACTCACCAAAAATTTACTATTCATGTTTGTTTGAGTTCTATGCGAACCTCTGGTGCGTCGTTAACTCACTTGTAAGTTACTAAAGGTATGTTTGTGTTTTGTTTGAAACTCTAGTGTAGTTTTAGCTTAGTTACCAACTAGTGACTACAACTATACAACATATGTTCACCTTAATTTCCAGCATTCCTGTAGATATTGCATTTTCCTTAATGCATATCCAAAATCTTCCAATCATTATTTTTCATAATTTACAACACCACATATCTATCGAATATGCAATTGTGTAGCTTGGAGTGTTATGCTCTATCTATGATTATTTATCTTGAAATTTTTCCCATTTAAAGCTGTATATACTTTTAAAACTGTAAATCTATATGTGTATGTATACACTTGTACGTGAATGTATGTAGGCCCGAATGTGTATTTCTGTATGTATTATCTATCTATCTATAAATGTATTTTGTATTAATTATCTATCATAAAATGTTTCCCGTTCAGAAAATTTGAGTCAAGTTCTCTTAAACCTGAACCATGAATAAATTGCCCAAAAATATTAAACAGTAAAAATCTCAACAACCCAACTGTTTTTATCTTTTGCAAAAAACTGTGGTCTTTAAAGTAACGTTTTTTGAAACCTCTTGTCAGTTGAATCTTACCTCTTGTTAGGGATGCAGAGTCTTAAGAGACTTATGATCTGCAATAAAAAAAAAATTCATGAAATTTAATGACTTGGAACCTGTGTTTTTTAGTCCTGAGTCCCGGAGTCTTGGAGTCCTCTTCATTTTTTTATGTGTTTCAGCTTAGTACTTTTATGCCTCACTGCTGGAAAATGTGCCTTCTATGTAACTAGGGAGGGGGGGGGAGGGGTCCATAATCGTCTTTTTTTAGATTTTTTATAGTTTAACCAATTTTTCTTATTTTGTTTTTCATGCTGATTCTAAAAATTATAATCGTTTTTTTTCATTTTTATTATTTAGCCTTCTACTTTGATTTTAATAAAAGTGAATATATTGACAAAAAAAGGCATTGTTAAAAATAGATGAAATTGTTATTATCATTAAATATAAGAAAAGTAGAAAACTAGAAATCTTTTTCTGTTTAATTTATCAATAATATACCTTTAATAATATATCATTTATAAGTAACAAAAAAAACTAAGCATTATATATGAAAATAATTTATACAGTTTGTTATTTACTATTGAAAATGGAAAATAACTATAAAAGTCATCATATGTGATAGAGATTGCTGCGTGAACTTTCCTTATAGAGCATCTAGGTTATGAGCGTGTTCTTTGGTAGACATAAGATGGAGGTTTGTACTTTTATATCAAAAATCATGTATTTAAACAAAATAGACCTCCGCGAAAATGACCTATATTGTATCCCTAAAATAAAGAACCTCATTTTTCGAACTTTTTTTTCATTTTAACATATCTTTATCTACTTCAATAATGTCTAGTTCACAGCTAAATGGGCTCCCTTCTAACTATAATTAAGCTAAAACAGAACTCATTTTGCACACCTGATGTAAAGTTTGCTGCTCTTCCATTGTTATCCATTTGTTTTTGTAGCTGGTTTCAACTATATTCCATAGTTTCAACTTTTTGGACAAATAACTGGACAATAATTCTCCAAAATATTTTTAAACTGCGCGAACCTTCATTTTTATATGGTTTAAATAATTAAGTATACATCTACTGTTGAAATTAAATGGTTTTTTCCAAAGCTTTCCAATTGCAACAACTTAATTAGAATTTTAATTCTAATCATTTTCCATAATCAACCAAACACCTAATACTTTTCTCTTTTTTGAAGTCCTGAGGCTAACTTTTGCCAAAATACTCTAGACAAGAATGATACAATCATTCAACCTCTTTGAGGTATACTTATTAACTCCTTCTAGAATTTTTTTTTAACTAGCTATTCACTGCGTTTCAGAGTAAAGTAGAAAATTTCAAAATTTGATCACCCTATTTGTTTTTTATAAAGCCTTTTATAGGTAGCAGTGTTCCTTTAGCCTGCTTATCTTTAGAATTGTTAAAACTTTAGAATTTAACTAAACTTCTACTGACTGGCATTTTAAAAGAAGATTTATTCTTGACTTCATTAAAGAAAAGTGAAAAAAAAAAAATGAAATCTTGAATAGCCTTCTTGATAGCTTGAATAACAATTAAAAATAAATAAAAAAAGGAAATAAAGATATTTTGAAGCAATCTGTCTTTTTGATTACTTAAAACGTTTTGTTTAGAAAGAGACTTCAGATAAAACTTTTTTTTTTGAAGCAATCTGTTTTTTTACTTATTTAAAACGTTTTTTTAGAAAAAGACTTCAGATTAAACCTTTTTTTTCTAAAACACAGCGATTAAAAATCAAATTTATCCAATCAAAATTTGAATATAGCATAAATTTAAAAGAAAAGTTGCGTAACGTTATACGCAAAGAAACTTTTGCAAAGACTTTTATTTTTTATATCTTTAAATTTTAAAATAGAAGTAGAAGGTCAACCATAAAAAATTAGCAAAAACTGAGTTGTTTTTTAAACTTTTCTTAAAAAATTAATTAAGAATAACTGGTTAAACAAGAAATATATAATTTTGGACCCCCTTCCTAATGTAACCTCCTAGATCCAGGTTAATACGGATGTTTTTATTCCTCATTGCGAGTTTTAAGTCAAGCCTCATTCTACACTGTGATTTTCACCCTCTGTGCAGCTTCTATATCTAAATGTAATCACTTTTAAAAATATTTTTCACAATATCAGTTGTTTTTGTGAAAAAGCTAAATCTCTTGTGAATAAAGGTCTTTTAACTATTACAAGAAATTAATGTAAAAAGTTAGGCTTCAAAGAAAAAACCTTTAACAGCGTTATTAACAAAGTTAAGTCTAACATTCCATCTCTAATTTATGGGTCTCATCTTATTACCTCTCCCAAGAATAAGAACTATTTGCAAAGAACAATATTTTATCATTTAGAAACTGCTCTACCTGTCAAGCTTGAGCCATTCCCCCATCATCATAAGGTAGCATCCTTTCTACAAATAATTCTATGCTTAAACTTTTCTACAAATATTGTTATGCTCAAACAAGATATCATCTTTATTTCCATTAACCAAAGCTCATTCTCTCTTTACTAATCATTCAGCATTGTTTTATTGCGTCTGCCTCTTCAAACTCTAAAAACTTCTATTTATTATATTGTCTATATTTATATTTTCTTGTTTTATTCATACTTTAAAACGCTCTTGCATCTTTAAAAAAAAATTAAAACAATGAATAAAACAATAATACTAAAACTTTCTAAATTTAAAAATATTGCTCTTTGGTTGTTATTACCCAGTCAATCTAGAACATAGTAGTCAATTTCTTTCTTCTAATAAAATCACTAAACCAGCCAACAAACAGAATGATAAAAAAATGCTGCTTTAAAAGGCAGAGCAGACAAAAAACCATTCTAGAAGAGTTAAAATTCTAATCTTATGTAAAAAACAATTTTCACAAACATAAGTAAAAAACTTATTTCCATTAACAGTTATTTATTACATATTTTCTTATAATGGTTAATTTTTAAAAACTTTAATTTTTAACTTAATTAAATTTTATTATGGTAAATTAAACATTGTTAAAATTATGAGAATAGTAATATACTAATAAAATAATATAATATAATAATAAAAATAATAATAATAATATAATAATTATAATAATAAGAATAGTTAAATAGCAATTTTACAAGATTGTAGACATTGAATAATTTTTTTCTTATTAAAAACAAAAAAATATTTATTTAAGTTTTTTAAGTTTTTCTTTAATGTTTGTTAAATCACCCCAGACCTGTTAGTTTTTAGTAAAATCAAAAATCTACAAAAAAGCTGTTTCTATAAAAATTACACGAAATTAAAGTGTGAGCTTAACAAGACTACAATAGATATACAATAGATATTAGTAGATACTAATCTAAATGTAAAATAATAACGATAGAGCTTATTAATAATTTTTTAAATGAGGCTGAAGTGATTAATACTAAAGTGACCCTGTTTAAAAGTTCATTTTAATAATACTATTATTAATCATGATGATGAAAACCATGATAATAATAATAATAACATATTATTTTAACAATAGTAATAATAATATAGTAATTAAAATAATTTAAATAAATCGGTAAATTTTCCATACAGCAATCGTTCTTACATACAAAGTTACAGTTATAAACAGTAATAAACTGACAAACTTAACAACTAACGATGATATAAAAACAATCACTGCCAAAAAAATTATAAAGATGTAGTAAATATATTTTTCTTATAATATAATAACCGAAATGTATTGCAAATAATATGAAAAAGTTAATAAATAAAATATAAATCAGATTGAAGATGAAGGTTTGTATTTATTTAGATGTGTATTATGTTACAGATGTATAATGTTATGTTGTTAGTTCTTAAATGTATGTTTATTTTTAGTTGCTGAATTACTAAGAAGTAAGTTTTGTTTCATTTTGTTATAAACAAATGTTATAAATTGCATTTATATGTTTGTTAATTTAAATTAACTTTACAATATTAAAATGGTTTAAACGAACTTTAAATTTTTGTAAATGAATTTAATCCTCAAAGATTAAATTTTTTTTTATTATTGAAGAAATTAAACTAGATTTAAGAATGAGTCGACTTAAATGTTTGTTTGTTTTTCTATTTAGATGATGACAATATTGAAGCAAGTAAGTTAAAAAGCATTTTTATATTTTTAAAAAGAAATAAAAATACTTTTCAATATACATCTCTTTTCTTTGAGGTAGATTTAAAGTTTCCGGTTTTTAAAATCATATACATTATAAGATTTAAGAAAGAGTCAACTTGAATGTTTGTTTGTTTTTCTATTTAGACGTTGGTAATAATATTGAAACAAGTAAGTTATAAAGCATTTTTAAATTTTTAAAAAGAAATAAAAATACTTTTCAATATATATCTGTTTTCTTCAAGGTAGATTTAAAATTTTAGGTTTTTAAAATCATATATATTATAATATTAAATTCTTTTTTACTTTAAAAATATCTATATTATAGTTACACTGAGTCGTAGAAAAATAATTAAAGTTTATTAATAAGGTAGTAGATTATTAGAGTAGATTAAATTGTTTGATCTATTTAATCAACTTAATAACGTACTATTAAAGTGAAGATTTATTTCGGTTGTTTGTTTATTAAAATTTAGTTAGAGTTTATTTAAAATTTAAATTCTTTAGTTAATCAAGAGAGATCTAATAAAGGTATTAATTACATTAGTTAGTTGAATGTGGCATTTAATATGTATTTTATCGATATTTTAACGTCTAAACATTAAAGTGCTTTTATTGTTTAAATACAGAAGTGAAGAAGGAAATAAGTCAGTGTTTTTGCTATTAAATTTTTGTTAATAGGAATTTGTTTATTTGTACTGCCACTGGAATTTTAAAAAATCAAGTTCTTTAGCTTTATTTTATACTTTCTTTTAGGGGAGTTGGAAAAAAAACTAAGTACAAATTATGATTAGTTTAGTTTAATAAATAAAGCATTAATATTTAGAAGATTTAAAGTTTACTTTAGTTTATAGTTTTGGTTTAGTTTATAGTTTTGTTTTTAGCTTTAGTTATTTTTTCTTACTTTAGACAACTTTATGGATGAAATGAGGAAGATGAATAAAACAATTATTTAGATATGTATATAGATATGTATATATGTTAACATTATTTTATCGATTATTTTATATTTATTTAAGTATATATTTGTCTTAAGTGTCTGGTGGAAGTATAGCTGGTAAGCTATAATTTTATATGTTTTGTATGGAGGTAATAATTTTATATGTTTTGTATGGAGAAATATGTGCAATAGGTAGAAAATTAATTAATAAATATGACACTTTTGAACTGGTTGCATTATTGCCCTATATACTTATTAAAATACAAAATGTTGCATGTTTAACCCTTTTTAATTTGCTCTCTTTTTTTTTTTTTTTAGCATCTTCTGTTTCGAATGAAAATGGTGAGGTTATGCTAATTTTTTTTTTAAATAATTGCAAATGCATGACTTTTATTATATTCTTCTATTTGTAACTTTAGATTCCTTATCATTCGAAGAATATAAAAGTTACCGCTCCCAACACCCAGGACCTCTCTCAGAGAGGTCCTTCAACAAATGGATAGATAATGGCGAAATGAATGAGCCCTCCTTTAAATGGAGGGCTCATCCATACCGGGGTGTTAAGAGACACCGAAGAAAAAACAGCAACCAAAAGGTTGTAAATGTCTTCTATCAGTAGAGATATTTATGACTTTTTGGTTGCTGCTTTTTCTTCGGTGTTTTTTTTTTAATTTTGTAATTAATTTTAATTTTGTAATTTTTTTTAAATATATATTATGTTGTATATTTGATTTGTTTTGATCTTTTTTAATGAAAATTTTAAAAAACCCAAGGCAATATATTTAGCTATATAAATACAATTTTTCTCGATTCGATTCTTCATCTTTTATGTTTATAGTTTGGCTCTTTGAAGCATTTTATGATTTGCTTTTTTTATTATGAGTATTTTAAATCCGTTGTAATGTCTTTTAAATTAAACTAAAGTTTACTAAAAGCTAACATAAAAATTACGTTTTTGAACAACACTAAAAAGAACAGCTGCATCCCTACAGCAACTGCTGCAGTATCACAATAGGTTACTAAAAGCAGGTATACTGTTTTCCAGTTGTTGTTTTTTTTTCATATATATCTACTTATCTATATAATACTATAGTACGATTGTTTATATCTCATTCATTTTTTTTTCTTTATCTTTAAGTGTTAATAATTTTATTCTTTGAATAAGATTAGCTAAACAAGTCAGCTTTCCATTAAAGATATTGGTTTAAAAATTGAACACCATTGGCAAAATGCTTACAAAATTAGGTAGTTTTTAAAAATCTGTTTTCTATTTAATACACTTTTTTTTAAATATACTTTTTAAATATACTTTTTTAATATACTTTTCTATAACAATCCTACTAATATGGAATCACGTAGCTTTTTAAATATGTTTAATTGTCGTTCCTATCGGTAATAAATATTTTAAATTATTTGATATGGTTTTCTTTACAATAGGCTATGCTTGGCTCCTCGGTGCTGTAAATGGTGGCTTCAACTTTGTTTTTTTTTAAGAAAAATGTGTTTTTATATATGCTTCTGTTTTAAAATATTTTTGTTACATATTTAACTATATATCATGTGAATAAATTTCTTTTAAAGATATGTAAACTTGATACTTGCTCTTTTACGGATTTTCAAAAAGTGAACAAAGGTTTAAATATATTTTTTAAGTCTTATATGATTTTATCAATTTTATTAAAGCCGAATAATTACTTCAAAAGTATTGAGTAAAATCCTATTGCTTTTATTATTGCCCTGATCTATACAAAAATTAATGAAATAAAACTAATAATTTAACGCAAAGTTAAGGCAAAATGTATTCCGGACATTTTATAAAATTAGTATATATATGGATTGGATGTATGCTGAAATAAATATGTTGATACACGTTAGCTATTAAAGTAAATCCATATATTCCTTTATTGTTTTTTTATAAACAAGTTTTTGCTGGATTACTAATTAAAAAAAAAGTTGGTTTAATAATAATCTTTATCATAATAAAATAGGATCCGTATGCAGGGCTAAGCCCTTTTCGGAATTCCAATATATTTTTTTTAACTTATAGTTTTTGCGAATATCCAATTTCTATGCCTACAAGTTTGGGTGTAATATTTTAGATGTTTTAAAAATATTTAAAAAGTATATTAATAACATTGAAAAGTTTAGGTGCGATAGTGACATATTTTTAAGCTCTTCACTCAGTAAAATGAAAAGTTTAAAAATAAAAAGAAACGACTCAGCTTAAAGCAAAATTAAGAGTAGAATATATTCCCAATATTTACCTAAACAATTTTACGGAATTTGAAAATTTGACATTGATGTTCTGTGCATATAATTCAAGTCATTTTTAACTACTACATGGTTGTGATTTGCGCATTCAATGTCTGAACATTGCAAAAGAAATGGATAACTTTATCTTTAATGAAGCTAAGAGTTCTCTTAAACTAAGAAGCCAAGAAAAATAAAAGTGAGCTCAACTAAAAAGAAGTATAAATAAATTTATATTTCATTAGAGAAAGTAAATAAAGATCAAATTGTTAGTAATGATTTATTTACTACTAACCCGTATTACGGGTTGCTTTCTGTATAAAAAAATTTATATTTTATTAGAGAAAGTAAATAAATATCAAATTGTTAGTAATGAATGATTTATTTACTACTAACCCGTATTACGGGTTGCTTACTGCTAGTATTTTTTTAATACAATGTACTTTTTTTTAAATATTGTTTGATTTATGTTTGTTGGTGTAGCAGACTTTTATATCATCTTTATTGCATCAAGTAAATATATTTTATTTGCTATTACATAAATTGCAATACAGCATAATAAAAACAAAAATTTTTATATAATTTTTTGAATTTTAGTTTAAAAGTATTTAAAGTATTTATATTAAGTATTCATAGCCCGTTCTACAGACCGAGAAAATCCTAATTTTTTTACTGAATAAGTTTTTTATTTAAAAAAATAGAAAACACATGCACAACATTTATTGTTAGTGTTGCACTTCTAAAAAAGGTAAAAGTTTTACCGTAGGGTAGAATATGTGACGTGCCCTTTGTAAGGTAATATTTTCTTAAAATCTATATCTTTAAAGGTAATTTTTTTTTCTTTTTAGGTAGTAAATTATACAACAAATCATTGTTTTTAATATAATTTAGTTAATAATTAAGATATGATTTTCTATCTAAGGTATATAACTATGCTGTATTAAGGGTACACATATCCTACCTAGATAAAAACCACATATCCTACCCTAGATAAAAAATACCACATATCCTACCCTAGATATCACATATCCTACCCTACCACATATCCTACCCTAGATAAAAATTTTTAATTTTTTAGATTGTTTCCCAGTTATAAGTGTTTTTAAACCATCTAAAATGATAAAATTGTACCTGATTTTTTCTTGTTTCAATAATACCAATACCAACATAATGTAAAAAGTGATATATAAATTATCAACTAATTCAGCTTAGTAAACTTTATATAAAATATAAAGTTTATTAAGCTCTATTAGCTAACATTTTAAACAAATATACTCTAAATATATGATACTCAGCATTTATACCCATATTCACCCATCAAGTTAAAGTTGATGAAATGTTTGCATCTGCAACATATTTTCATATAGCATATAACTTAAATGCTTATATGATATAAGCTATATGGTTTGAATATGCATATTCATACCACCACAACCTCTGTCACGTAACTACATTTACCAACAGTTTAGGTCGTTATTTTATGCTATATTCATCTTTTCATTCGGAATACAAAATATATATGCAATCCAAAATAATAACTTGAAACTTAATAACCAAAAATAAACATAGTTTTGCTCCTGCTATTTTAATATTTATCCGAAAAATGTATGAAAATTATCTATAGCGAAGTACAATGTTTACAATTTAATGCACTCTAAAGTAGGCTGAACACTAGTATAGAGAGGAACTTAAGTGTTATAAGAAAACGGCCTGCGTTTCCAGACTAGTTAAATACTATAACTATAATTTCACATAATTTTATAAAGAAGTCTTATTTTTACTGTGTTCTTGTGTACTCCCATATTATAAAAGCATTAAAAAAGTGTTCGAACATAAAAAAAAATGTGGGTATAAAAGGAACAACAACAAAGTGCAATTAACGCATTTAAGGTAAAAAATACCAAAGCATTAAAGTTCTAAGACTAAGCATTAAAATTCACAAATAACATTATATTTTATATTTGAATAAAATCGTTCATACTATTAAAATACTTTAGAAACAACAATTTTGACATTTGTGGGTCAACAATATATTAATTTGAATAGTAAACTTGTTAACTATTTATTAAATGTTGAAAATTCTACAACACTTGACTTCAATCGTTTAGCATATTCTGGGTGGCTTTGTCGTCACTTATACTTAATCTATGTCATTTTAAACTCATGATGAACAGATTCACCTGCTTGTTCAGAGTAAATTCCAAGTCCATTATCAGTATGGGTAATTTTTAGAAATAGTGCAATATGGTTAACTACTATATGAACTTTCCTTGGTATATTCAAAGAAATGTTATAAAAGTAAGTATTAATATATACTATTAAATTAGCATAAGACAAGCTTCTAATTAATATATTCTAATAAAATAGCATAAGATTTAGCTTGCTTCATTGCTTGAAACTTTTTTAATAAAGACTTTCTCCTTCACACCACAAACAACTATATTTTCCAGCATGGCTTGTAATGGCAAACATTGAGCTTGCACACTTTAAATTAAATTCAATAGAATACTTAATACTTTGAAGATTAACAGTATCAACTAACTTTCTAAGGTTTTCATTGTGTTCAGACACTCCTTCTACAATAGCAACAATCAAACAACGCTTAACTCCACCATCATCAAGGTCAGGTTGCTTGTTTTATCATGCGGATTAAAAAGATTCATAGTGACCTTTAAAAAACCTTAACCAGAATCCACAGCAACTCTTACAATTGTAAAAAAAGAGTCAATATTCCTTTTAGAGATTATATTAGGAACAAATTCATCAGTATCTTTTATATAAACTATTGATTTATTTACTATATCGCCAGCTTCAAATAATTCTAAAGCCAAGACTTTTTCTAAATATGGAACACATTATTTTGGTTTTACACTGAAATAGTTCTAAACATTTTATAAGCTCAATGATTGTTCCGAAAGACAGTTGACTAAGATTAGCACGATCACATTTATTGTTCATAGTTCCAGCTACAATAGTCAATGGTTTCCCATGAGTAGCAATTGTAAGTTTTTTACCTCTAAAATTATTTTCCTTTTCCATTTTTGTTTTTAAAATACTTGAAGCAACATGTTTTGCATTTGCTGATCCCAATGCATATGCTGAATTAACTAAATTTTTCATAGCTTAAATATCACTACAAAGATGAATAATACCTGATTTAACAACTCCGCAACATTTTAGGCACGCCCTTTCATTTTTATTATTTAACTCAGTTGTAATAATGTTAATATCTTTTAATATTTTTGAAACATCTGAAGTTCTTCTGATATCCTGACAATTTATCTAAACAAATAAATCTAAAACTATCTAAACTAGTAATATAAAAATATAACACATTAT